TTTTTTTTTTTTTTTTTTTTTTTAGTGTCCCCAGGGATCAGGCTACCTATAGGCCTATGCTTTGTCGTTCAGTTCGTAGTCGTTAGCTTTACTGAAGGGCTAAAAGCATCTCATGGGATTTTCACAGCTTTTGTGCCCATTTTTTGTTATTTAATTTTTAATTGGTCTTAAAGTTAAACGCGTAGTGAGAAAAATAAGAGTAAGAACGAGGACAGCTTTACAGCTGCAATTGAAGTTAAGAAAGATATATGATCACCAAGCATGAAATTGGTACACGTTTGGCCGATCTCCTTCCTATGATATTCAGGATACCTAAATCGACTGTGTGTACGAAGTCTGAAAATAAGCTTCGAAGGCAGCTGATCTGGCGAAAGGGGTTACGACACTGACCTGGGGTTACGACGCTGACCTGGTGATTCGACACTGATCTGGTGTTAATACACTGACCTGGTTTTACTTCACCGATCTGGTGTTAATACACTGACCTGGTGTAACGACACTGACCTGGTTTTACTACACTGACCTGGTGTTACGACACTGACCTGGTTTTACTACACTGACCTGCGGGTGTTAAGCCACTGACCTCTGGGAGATCGATAAATATGGAAGAGATGGAGAAAAAAACAACAACTCCTTTTAGTTTTGATAATTAGTTTAAAAAAACAGCTGGCTGGTGATGAGACTTATGTGATTATAATTTAAGAGAAAAACAAGGTGCTCAACGACATAGCAATGGGACATGGAATTTCATCCTCCCAAATGCCAGACCCTGTCAGTCTCCAAAAGTATAAAAGTTCCCAAATGGAGAAGTATAAAGACTCAAAAAATGTAAGAAAAAGGCTGGGATCCATAGAGTTTTTATGACTCAGGAACGGATTAATCTATTATTTTAATGGGTAAAAAATTGTCAATGAATTCGAATGGGTTTCTGGAACTGATTAAATTTGGATTCCGATACCCCACTGTTTTTATGGAGAGGAGAAAGATAGACAGATATATTTATATATCCATGCGTGTGTGTGTGTTTGTGTGTCTGTGTGTGGTGGGGGTGTTGTGTATTCTCCTAAATGATTTCTTTAAAGTCAGTTTTAAAAAAAGGATTTTTAAAAAAAAGAAATTGGGAGGTATAATCAAGCGAGTTTTGCCATGGTTTGCGAAAATAAGAGGCTATTTCGAAGGATTAGTTGAACAATTTTAAGATGCTATCCTCAATTTTGTTCTCTTTTTTTTTTCAACAAGAAACGAAAATATGTTTTGCAAGTAATATTAATTAAATTGCATCATCTCCTATTTAATTTTGTTACTATTCGTTTCAAAGTAGCGAGTCCTTTCCCCTTAAACCAGCGGTTCTCAACTTGTGGGTCCCGACCCTTTTGGGGGGGGGGGTTGAACCACACTTTCCCAGGTGTCGCGTAAGACCAACGTAAAAAAAACATACTCTACAGCAGGCCTGCACAACATACGGCCCGCGGGCCGCATGCGGCCCAAAAGCACCCACTTCGCGGCCCGCGAGGTAACGAAATATTCTTTATTCTTATTATTTTCTCTATAGCTTTCCCCCTGTCCTATTTTCTTTTGGCCGCCTAAGTCCTGTCCTATTTTCCTTTGGCCCGCACAAGTTTTTCCTAAAGTATTTCGGCCCGCCTTACATTTTGAGTTGTGCAGGTCTGCCCTACAGTTATGAAGTAGAAAAGAAAATAATTTTGTGGTTGGGGATCGCCACAACATTAGGAATTGTATTATAGGGTCACGGCATTAGGAAGGTTGAGAACCACTGCCTTTAACCATTTGATCATTCTCATTAATTCTACCTACTACACGAGTCAGTGTACAAACACACAAAGATATCCGTTGAGTATTCATACATTTTGATACTCAGAACTTGGTATGTATCCCATATTCCCAATGCCACCCAAAGTGGTGGTCCGCAACTGTCCAGTCACCACGTCACACGGGATTATTAATTTAAAGAATACCGAAAAAATAACGCTAATTTTTTTTTTTAAATTGTCCACAGATCCTGGTGGTTAATTTCGACTGTGACGGATTCCTGCCTCTCTGTCACAGGGTAACGTTTGAGAATAACTGATGTAGCGCACACTTAAATAATTAATCGCAAATGTTCTCTACGGCCACGTAATGTAGGCAAAGTCTGTGAACATATTCACCACGGTAGAAAGCAGACGACCATGGTACACCTTGGACTGGGGCTTAGTGTGTCATTGGACTGAAAAGATAGATCTATGCGTGGACACGTTTCGTTGGTCAGCTTTTTTTTTTTTTTTTTTTTTTAAGAAGTTTTTCGCTTTTTAAAATAAATCAACATTTTTTATTTATAATGATTTCTAAGGTTGGTAATTGAAAATGCAATTTAAAATAGATCCTTAAATAATAATGCCGTTAATTAAGATAATCAAGATACTTAAGATGACATAAGATTTTTTTAATGATCCAAACAGAAGAAATGTTTATTGAATACAATGTAAATATTCATTTTCAGCACACGGATTAATAATTCGTAACAAGACAAACACTTTAAACCATAAATATTTAAACAAGACATCTTAAGTATTTCTCAATCAGCCGTCATATTAGGAGGTCATATACCACACAACTTCACTTTCTTGGTGACAATATTGACTTAAAGTGTGCATTTAGATTGTTCGGTTTTTTTTAACAATTGGGGAGCACGCAGGTAAATTCTGACAGATTTGGGAACTGCATTTTTATATCAATTCATTTTTATCAATTGTTTAATTTTTTAGCACGTCATATAATGGATATTTTTTTTAATGCATGACATATGATTAAGAGTGTAAATCTGTGAGTTTTTAGGAAACTATTAGTGAGCATGCCCCTCACTTTATGTAACAACAGTATTGTAACAACAGTATTGTAACAACAGTATTGTAACAACAGTATTGTAACAACAGTATTGTAACAACAGTATTGTAACAACAGTATTGTAACAACAGTATTGTAACAACAGTATTGTAACAACAGTATTGTAACAACAGTATTGTAACAACAGTATTGTAACAACAGTATTGTAACAACAGTGTCTAGAGTAATAAAGAAAAACCTGCACGAAATGAGCTCTACAAAATGGCAAGCTATTGCAGTTATTATGTTGTCTTTTAACAATAAATGTATTTCAAGAAGATACACATCCATGGAGAATGGCTAATGGTCGGTTGGGATGGAATGCTACTAACGCCTTCAATGTACTTTTCTACGTTGGTATGATACTATTTATCGTCGGCTTCAGTTGTCCTGCCTGGTCTTACAATGAGTCGGCTTACTACAGTCAGTACGCGGGATTGTGGTCTTGTAAAGAGAGCAGTTATTGTTCTCTTATTATGTACGGTAAGACCATTTTCAAATCGATGTTTCCCTTCTCTTTCATTCTCATTAAAATAGAGGAGTCGTCTTATTTATATAATGACATTAATGTTTCTTGTCTTCAAACGGCAAGTTAGACCTTTAAAAATAGAAATAAAATGCCCATTTTATATTGAATATAAAATTGTATGTTTACCCTTTTTCTTTTGGCATTATCGCAGAGATTTTATTCTCATGTTTTGCAACATTTTACAGTTATTATACAACGATTTTAAAAAAAATGTAAATAAGTCTTTAGTCTTAGTTTAAATGAAATTAGAAAGATATATATATTTTTTTAAAGATGTTTTATTAGGATTGTTTAGGTCTTTTTTTCTGGTTGGAATATTGTACATAAATTTTTTAAATCACACCTATTTTCTTGCTTTCTTGCACTCGTCTATTTTGTTTTAATTGCAATCCTTTGTGTGTGTGTGTGTGTGTGTGTGTGTGTGTGTGATTGTGTGTGTGTGTGTGTGTGTGTGGGTGTGTGTGTGTGTGTGTGAGTGTGTGTGTGTGTGTGTGTGTGTGTGTGTGTGTGTGTGTGTGTGTGTGTGTGTGTGTGTGTGTGTGTGTGTGTGTGTGCGTTTTGGTTTATTTAATTGTACACAAAAAAAAAGGCTTTAGGATGTCTATATTTTCACACGGGCTGCAACCAAAATTCCCTTTAAGCTGCGCGGCCGCGCAGCTATCTCAAAGACGCCGCGCAGCCGTTTTGAGTATCCGCGCAGCAAATTTTCATGTAACTGTGTGTTTGCGGGCTGTAAAATTTTGCACAAAAAAATTGCTGTTGCAAAACTTTGCACATAATTGTATGATTTTGCACATAAACCAGTTAACTAATTATAAAAAGTGTTGGACTGCAATAAAGCTTTAAAATATATTAAAATGTTCGTGTCTTATTAACACATAAACCAGCAAACCTTAGAGGGAACATGGGCTGCAACTAAACTCAGTCAGACGGGACGCAACATAGTTTACTTAGAAGTTAACATGCAAGACTCTAGTGCAGCATCAGACTGGACGCAATATAGTTTACTTAGAAGTTAACATGCCAGTCTTCAAGCGTGGCTCGTTTGCAACACAACGAAGCTTTGCTAAACCTTGTTTATAATTATTTTTTTTTAAATTAAATGACGCTTGACCTCATTTTGTTAACATTTAAAACCTAAGTAAGATTTTGTAGAGGAGGGGAAACGATAAAATATATGAAGCGACTTTCCACCTCTACAAAATGTGGTAATAAATTAAAATAAACAACCAAATCGGTCTATAACCAATTTTTATCCGGAAATTTGTTTGAAAGAAATTTCATCGACTGAAAATTGATTGACGAAAGTTTGATCGAATGGAAATTTGGTCGAATTTTCTTTCAGTTCACACGCTCTAATTTTGCGTCAAATTTATTTTTGAACGCATTATTTTGTTTTACTATATAGCATAGTGCATTCAAAAGAAATTTGACGAAAATTTGATCGTGTGAACTGAACAAAAAATCTACCAAACTTACGTTCGATCAAACTTCCGTTCGATCAAATTTCCATCCGACCAAACTTTCGTCGATCATTTTTCCGTCGACGAAATTTCTTTCAAACGAATTTGCGGTAATCATAAAAGATTCGACACGAAATCAAATTTTTGTATTCATTCTCTCTGCCAAATAATTTTTTTTTTACCAAGAATTGTAACTTTAAAATGTGTCACTCCTTTTATTATCTATTTTAGGTAAACCCACGGCCGCACAGGCTCTCGAATGTGTTGCTTTAGTTGCACACATCTTATCAGCAGTAGGTGTGGCGTTCTTTTATTATGTCCTGTATCATAGCAACGGTTCAAATAGCTATTACGATCTTGTGCTGAAGATTGACGGAATGCTGGCCATATTAGGAGGTGAGCCTCGTTGGATCTATACAATTATTGGGGCTTTTCATTTAAAAAAAATTAATGTTTGTTATTGGCCATTCCAATGAGCTCAGCTAACTATTTCTATGTTATGGAGAAATTGATTAAAAGGTCATGAATGATTTAAAAAAAAGATAAACATCTTTTTTATAGGGGTGGGGATATGATTAATATATGCGTTTCCGGAAATATATTTGAAAGAAATTTTGTCGACGGAAAATTGATCGACGGATCTATACAATTATTGGGGCTTTTCATTTAAAAAAAATAAATGTTTGTTATTGGCCATTCCAATGAGCTCAGCTAACTATTTCTATGTTATGGAGAAATTGATTAAAAGGTCATGAATGATTTAAAAAAAAAGATAAACATCTTTTTTATAGGGGTGGGGATATGATTAATATATGCGTTTCCGGAAATATATTTGAAAGAAATTTTGTCGACGGAAAATTGATCGACGGACGTTTGATCGAATGGAAATTTGATCGAACGGAAGTTTGTTGGAATGGAAGTTTGGTCGAATTCGTTTTTCAGTCCATGTAACTGATGTCTTGATTATTTCATTTACTACTAGGTGTCTTTGGCATTGTTGGTGGCATCGTCTATTCGTCGTATATCGGTGGTTTCACTTACACCACAGACAGACTGGGCTGGGCCTCAATCCTCACCATTGCTGCATCTGTTTTCACATCCTTGGTTGGATCTGGGCTTGTTTTATTATCAATACCTAGATTTAAGAACAGACTTAACGGGAAGTACGAGGTGATACCTTCCCATTAAATATGGCAACTTCAGAAATAAACAAATTATGATACGATATCTTCAAAGTAAGAATATAGCGATAAAATATCACCCGGTGTTCTTTAGAATTCGTTGTCGTCCAAAGACGCATAGATTGGTGTTGTGTTTACCTATCCCCGACCCCGTTCCCCTTAAATTGTACGGACGACCACATGTATAATTTATAATCTAGTTACTGGTAGGTAGGCCTACTAGATATAGCTATATATATAGATATAGATATAGGCCTATTCCGCCAAACATTTTGTGCGCTATCGAACTTATTTTCGAACTATACTTTCTTTCAAACATTTAGAATTATTTGTAATATACTCTCAATACCAAATTCGCTGATTAGGAAGCAGTCCATTGGGAAGCTGTCAATTAGGAAGCAGTCCATTGGGAAGCAGTCCATTGGGAAGCAGTCCACGAGTCACGCCATATTACTAATATATATATAAGAGATGTGTCGCCCAGCGTAAACTACACTAACGTCTTTTTTGAGAATTCATTTTAAGTACGGGAGATCATGGGATGTGCCGCAGTGCTACTTAAAGTGGTGATCCGCAAACACTCAGCCACCTGTCGGCAAAAGGATTTACAACAGTTTTAAAAACATCGTCAAATAAGATAGTCTAAACACTGTGCACCGATCACCGCCGCAATGTGGATAGTTTTGTTCACCTCTTGTGCTGGCATGTACAGAAAGTTTGAAACTTCGAGAATAGATTGTCTTGTAAATGACTTAAATATCTGTAAGACATAAGACAAGACAATCTGGAAAGTTAGCCCAGACATAACGAAAAACGTCATGTGTATCTACGTGGCCAGCAGTAGTTTTAGTTTTAGATCAAACCAGAGACAAAGATAATAAGAAACAGTAGGTCTAGATCATTAGAAACAGTGTATCTAGATCATTAGAAACAGTCTATCTAGATCATTAGAAACAGTCTATCTAAATAATTATGTGTGATGTTTATATGATGTTGACTTTTGGATTTGTAGAAAATGTAAATAAAAAATGACGTACTGTTATAGGCCTGAAGCTGAATTTGTGTAAAAAATTATGTGTGCGTTATATGTTTACGTTTATTAGTGACAGAAAGTTTATTTGTTACACATTTATGTTGTACTTTGAAAAAAAGACATGGAATTAAACTGTTCATCTCCTATGCATGCTTTAAGAGAATGTTTATATAATTATAAGCTCAATCAACACTATCAGAAGATAAGAATTTAGACATAATATATCTGGACACTACAACTTGTTTTCCTTCATTGATTAGCTAGTATTATGTACAACACAGTAGAAAGTGCATGACGTCAGGGCCGTGCAAAAAAAAAAAGTGTTGGGGGCAGGGTTTCTTTCAGCTATATCTGGGGGGGGGGGCACTGCCCCCCCCCCCAAGCCAAGTGCCCCCGGAGCAAAAAATATGTCCAACAATATGTCCTGTATGACATTACTGTACAACACAATAGGAGGTGCATGCCATTACTGTACAATACAGTAGGAGGTGAATGACATTTAAGTACGAAACAGTAGTACATGTATGAAATAAGAGTGAATGAGCTGATACAGTACATGTAAAAATCTTTCGATAAACATCTTTATAATTGTAGTCTCCTGTATAGGCTAACAGGGGCCAATAGATGCAAAGAACATTTGAGCTGCCTTGCATTTTTTTTCTATTATTATTTCTAGTTTAAAGAATCCTCTTCAAACAAGTCTTCTGTTTACCAAACAAATAACCTATTTACCCTCCTTCTAGTTTAACCCTAGTTATACAACGCTAGCTATTGTGTTGTGTTAGGATCGTGACGCTAGTGCCTTTGTCATGGTTCTTTAATTAGACGATGATATGACAGGTCACAGCGTTCATTGTACAAACGTTCAGAACTGATGATGAAAATTCATGGTCAATGTGTTTTCTATTAACACATTTCTGTGTCAGGCGTTATAAATGACTATAGACCTATTTAATGGAAATCCAATATGCAACATATGCAGACATCATGTAGGCCTATAATTTAAAAGGGGGTTTATTCCCGCCTGACATTGATCCTGCAACCCCCAATACAAAAACCTCGTCAGCAACCAAAGGTGTGTGATGGTAAAAGGTCAGCGATGAATACCACTGCTACCAGCACCGGGACTTAAAGAAAGAAGTACCTAGGGGGGGGGGGGGGTTCAAAGAATGTTACGATATGTGCCAAATGTTCATTATTTAGTATATTATCTATTAAAGCAAGTAATAGTATTTATGAATTTTGAAATAAACATTTCAATGGACAGACTTTTGGGGAAATGTATCCTACTTCAACTACCCTCAGATAAATGTAGTATCAACAAATATACGATGCCTTTTGTAAATACATGTATATCCTATATTCATTACTTTTCAATACAGTTTTTTCATTGTCAAGTTTTAAATAGCCATAAAAAGCACAAAGCTCTGTTCTACATAACAGTATTTGCTGGGTATTTTTTTCTTGTTATGTCTTTATGTATCTGTCAAACGAATAAATATTTAAATTTTAAATAAGTTCACAAAGTTTATTATTATGCCTGTGCTTATAGTTTTATTTCTTTTTCGTTCAAAATTTGAAAAAAAATACAAATTCAGGAATGCGTCAAAATGCACCCCTGCACACTTGATAACTCATTTGATATTTTACGTAACGTATTGCAGATCGACATTAGCGCTAATTTTTGAGCTGACAGATGTCCTACTTCCCTTCCCCGGGTGCCACAAAAGCTCCTCCACCCCAAACCCCCATTGAAATTGTCTGAAAGAGACCCCGGTCATATCACATGCGCCAACCTGGGCCCCAAAAGCTCTTCTTATTATTTGAATATGTTAGAGATGAATAGGGAGTCTCAGCGAATTACTTTGCCCAGCCCCCCCCCCCTTCCAATTGGTACTAAGACGGCTCTGATTGAGGTTCCAATAATTTAGAATTTAAAGGATCTCATAAAATTTGATAATTTTTATTTTTTGGAACAGTCAATAAAAGCTGAAAGGTCGGTATTGGAGAGAAATTTTCTTTTGATAAATCTGGCACTGGTCCCTGGTGCAATCCACATATCCGCTAAATTCAAAATTTTAGGAAACGCTGGTTTAAAGCAGTGATTCTCAATTTGTCTTTCCGACCAACGATTCTTTGGGCTCTTAAACTCCTCCCACCGACCCTGTGTCAGATATATGAAAATATTTTCCACGAAACTTTATGGAAGATAATTAAACAATGACATGTAAAATTGTAACATATAATCGAACCATGAATTGTACAATCTTTATCAGGGTCCCACGATAGTAGCAAAAATTTAAAAAAGGTAGGCTACGCTGGACAGGGCACTTTGAGAGAATGCTAAATGACAGAGGAGTTAAGACGGTGCATCACCAAACACCCAGAGGAAAACGGCTCACAGGCAGACCTATGCTTAGATGGATGGGTGATGTTGAAAAAGATCTACAACTGGGAATCCAAGCATAGAAAAGAAACTCATTAATTAGGTCAGAGTTGAAGGGAGTAGTAAGGCAGGCTAAACCCCTACATGGCGCTGTAGCGCCGCAGGGATGGATGAATAATCGAACAATTTAAAGATTACTTTGATTAATTGTTCGAATAAATCACATTAATACAAATTAGCAAAGAAGACGTTAGATATCCAAAACTCATGCTAAATAATTATATTACTTTAAGTTACTGCCCAATTAAATTATTTAAATTATTCAGCTTATAATTGAATTAATAAAAAAAAGATTACTTTGATTTTTTATTAATTCAATTATAAGCTGAATAATTTAAATAACGTAACTGGGCAGTACCTTAGTTATATAATTATTTAGCATGAGTTTTGGATATCTAACGTCTTCTTTGCTAATTTGTATTAATGTGATTTATTCACTGGCTTAGTGCTGGTACACCAGGCATAATTTGATGCCTGTTTTAAAATCTCTTGGCTGAGACTCCATTGACCATGTTCAAATGTTTATGATTCTCTTAGCTTTGAACGTGGCGGGTAAACCACACTGAAATCATTTTGCTCCAAATACGATAAGACTGTGCAACAAGGAGCAATCTTGCCAACATTGTCATTCGGACAAGACTTAAGATTTCACGTTGAAAGATTAATGAACGTATCGTTTCTGGGTGGACAAATACCGGAAACCGTAGCGTATACGGTCACCCGGTGCGGTAAACTCATGGTGTCACCCGGTGCGGTAAACTCATGGTGTCACCCGGTGCGGTAAACTCATGGTGTCACCCGGTGCGGTAAACTCATGGTGTCACCCGGTGCGGTAAGCTCATGGTGTCACCCGGTGCGGTAAACTCATGGTGTCCCCCGGTGCGGTAAACTCATGGTGTCACCCGGTGCGGTAAACTCATGGTGTCACCCGGTGCGGTAAACTCATGGTGTCACCCGGTGCGGTAAACTCATGGTGTCACCCGGTGGATTTTTTAATTTGTGGATTTAAAGAAGTCAAAGAAAGAAAAAAACAAATTAATTGAAAGTCATGAGGTAAATGTATCTAAGAAATGTGCAATTTAGAATCGCCTGACCACATCCTATTTGGTATCGATGGAAAGCGTTATTTCTCAGAATTCAGATAAATATAGCTTCTTATTCCTGTCACTTAAGAAAGTTACCGAAACTTCAAACGGCGTTGAATCATGGTCGAAACGGTTTTTTCCTGACCTAATTATAGGGACACATCGTTTCTGACTCATCAACCTTGAACTTTTAATAAAGCAAACAGTCGGATTGGTTACATGCAGAGGCGTAGCGTGGTGGGGGCAGGGGGGGACAGATGTCCCCGGGCGCCAGCTAGTTAGGGGCGCCAAATGTGCTTTGATATTATTTTATTGATGAAAACAATGGGTTTGAGAGTTGAAAAAAAGAAAAAGGGGCGCTAAAAATGGATCTTGTCCCCGGGCGTGAATCTTGTCCCCGGGCGCCAAACACCCTCTCTACGCCACTGGTTACATGTGTAGAAAATGTACGTGTCGTCAGTTATCCTTTTATGAATTTCAGTTAGACCGAGCGGTGTGTGGGTGTGTGCGCTGTAAATATTTAATTTGGTGTCACCCCGTGAGATGGTGTCACCTCCGCAACCCCTAGCTACGCCACTGACCAGAAACAGTCGGTCTTCTTACGTGACTCCCCATTAATCAAAGTTACTCATTCCATAGTAACAATATTTACAAAGAAATTGTATATGTACCTGGATAAATTTTAAGAGCTTATTAAAATTAAGTTTGCTATAGAAACAAAACTTGTAAAAATTATTTAAATAGATTTTGATGTCTCTTAGTATTGAGTTATTGAGAACAGATGAATTTAGCAACTCAAAAGAGTGACAAATACTGAGTGTCTTTTCAGTCGACTTTTAACAAGTTCAAACCCTGACCAGCAAACAAACATGATTGACAGTACATACAAAAAAAAAACAACTTTGCTCAGGCTAGATTAAAAATTAGCATCCATTTATTTCTGAGTGGTCTTTTTTTCTCCGATTTTTGAAAATTGACATCATTCAATAAAGATGCAATTATTAAAGGTAAGATAAACATTACAGTATGTATAGAAACATTAAATGGAAATATAGTTTATTCACTCATGCATACTTATGATCAAAATGTTGAAGCAATTGTAAAAAAATATAGTTTTGAAAGCGTATAATAAAAATATTATTTTCCATCAAGTAAAAAAAAAAGTGTATTCAAGAAATGAGCAAGGCTATGAAACAAATAATAAATTCCAAAATCAAGACTGCCAAAAGGATAGGAACTTTTTATCAACATTTATTGTCTTTTCTGGTAAAAAAATTTTTAAAAATGTTTTGTCAAAGTTTACAAGATTTTCAGTTATGTATATTTATATCTGTATCATAGTTTTAAACCACATTCTTGGTTAACTACGTTTCCTTCTTCCTTTCCTGATTCCACGTTTTTCAATGCTGCGATTCACTTCATTCTTTGACTGCAATGAGACTGACCCCTCAGATGCTAGACAAGTACGGCAGCATTTCCTACGGAAGTTTTCCTTCTTGCATCTGAGATGAAGATG